GAAACTAAATTTGCACAAGTTTTTCCACTTATCACTGGGTAAGGTGTCCTTAGAAGAATTATATAAGCAAAATGTGTTTACCAGCCATGTGTTCACAAACAGAAGCAGCCAAAGTGACTGGTCAACATTGGTATTGTCTATGGAAGAGCTGTTTGGGAACGAGGAGTTCAGCAGTTTTAAGGAGTTGATCTTTGATTTCTTGAGTAACGTATGCAGTTAAAAAGATAGTTTGTGTTGAAACAGTGAACTTCGTGATTTGTTGTAAAAGCTACATATTTCGTGAGCTCTGCCTTCAAAAAGTCAAAAAGGAAAAATAAGTAGGTCCTCTGGATGGGTTCTTCTTTAGTGAAACGTTTTGTCTCTCGTCCAAGAGACATTTTCAGAGTTTCAGGTGAACTCAGCCTTATAAGCACTGCCTCCACATGGACAAACAGGTTAGTCACATGCAAGAGAGGGCCATCGCTTAACAATAGGCTTGAAAAAAAACAATAGGCTTGATTAGCTCCATTGTCATGTGCCCCATCACCTGACTTATTGGTTTGGATGCTTCTGCTGTGGTTATTTGGTGTTTTGTTATGTGTATGTAGTGAGTGCAAGCGGGGCTCGATGTCCCCTTGTTTTTGTCTCTATTTCCCTCTTTGTGTTGGTACCATTGGGGCCCTGATTCACACCTTTTACTCACAGGGGGCTGAGTCATACTTGCAATAACAGCGTTGTAGGAGGAGGACAACTGGACACGAAGGCCTCCACCTCTGTTTAATGGTGGACGTTTTTTCTTCACAAAAATGGCTTAATCAAGCCTATTGTTAGGCGATGGCCCTTTTTTACATGTGACTAACCTGTTTGTCCATGTNGCAGTGCTTATAAGGCTGAGTTCACCTGAAACTCATCAGACTGAAGAAGTCTCTTGGAGGAGAGACGAAACGTTTCACTAAAGAAGAACCCATCCAGAGGACCTACTTATTTTTTCTTTTCGATTTTTTCTACCTGGATTACCGAGATGTATCAGGACATGTCTTTAAAAAGCTCCACTGCAGGTACACTTATCAAAAACTATCTATATGGACTTACTGTCTGATGTCAGTTGGCAATGAGTAGCTTTAAGTCACTCAAAAGTGAGTCAGTTTTATCAAATATATTCTGAGTTTTATCCTAAAGGTCCTACTGCTGAGCAATGACACTCTTGCATGTGTTTTATTTCGACACCACTGACCCCTCCATCATAATCCCCTCAACCTTGTAGACATTTCTATCCGTAAAACATTTTTTCAAACCCCTGTTTATTGTTTGAAGAAAGTTTGTGAAAAGTAATCCCGATCAGATAAACTCGGAAGGAATTTCCTGAAAAACTGTAATCATGTTTTCATGTTTTGATTATGCTCACATCTCCCTGCATTGTTCGCAGATCACAAAAACCCTCACAAATGGCTTTTGTTAGGTTAACCACAAACGTCAGGATGACACAGCAACAAGCGCGACTGTTAAGAATTAGCTGTAAAAGGTCAAATCATGAAGCCTGCTGACAGCTTCATGTTGAGCTTTCCAATCGCTCCCCGCATTCCTGCTCCTCGCAGATCAATCCGATGCTTATCTGCGAAGGTGGTGAGTAATTCCTACCATCACAATCCCTAACATTCCAGAGATATTCCTCCCAAGCGCATTGCATCTGTGTGGAAAAATGTTTCTGGGTGAGCCCTGCCTTGTTCGGAAAAGTACACAAGATCTCTGTCGCACGGAGGGGGATCAGCAAGCCTCCAGAGAACATATTTAGGAGAGGTTTCCATCGGCTGCAGGTGAGGAGCGTCCAGACGTAGCTGAAACAAGTCGGGCATGTAGGTGGCAGTGTAGCCTGCATGACCTCAAGAAACCAGACAGGTAAACAGGAGTGGCATGTTCCTTCATGTCCAATGCTGCAGCGCATAAGTATCTAATTTAGATGAAAAATAAATAGGCAGCAGCTAAGGTGTGTAAATTCAAACCTTGTGAAAGAGGAAAAACAAAACCAACTGCACATAGCTGTGTACACTCCATGGAAATTAAGTTGATGCACAAGTTTTAAAATGAGCAACGCTTTACATAAGAACCATAAAACATCACTTTTTTTCAGGAGATTTGATGGCTGCCATGCACCTCGTGATGGACAAGCTTCGTTTCTAAGAGGATGTGATCTCACCTCGGCACACAACAAACCTCTTGTAAGCACCGCCAGGCGCCAAACGCTGTGTGTGTGTTTGTGTGTATTTGGACAGAGGGAGGCTGGAGGTCGTGAAAATGAGAGGCATCATTAAGCCGTCACGCGTCCAGTAAAGGTTCATAGTTTCGTTGAGCGGCTGGAGGATGGCGTGTCACTATACGACAACGCACACACACCAGCTTCTGTTCACGCTCGAGGACAAAGAGGCTTCATTGCCGCGCCACGGGATGGCGAGCTGCAGTCAAAAGCACATCATCGATCTGAAGCAAATTCTGTGTTCTGTGGTCGGTTTTGCTTCTAATCAGCATAAAGAAAAGTACTTTTTTCTTTTTTTTTAAATCGTTCTGCAGGAAATTGGCCTCCTTTTTGTGCATAACTTTCTAGAAACTTGCCAAACATCAGAACAACTCAGCAGCTGCCACAGCCCCTTTAAACTTGGCTTGGTCACTGCTCCGGCACTTTCTGCGGTTATTCAGCATTTCATCCTCCCTCTTTGCCCTACCTGACTCTGCACTCGAGGTTTCCTCTGTAGAGTGGTGAGTTAGTAGGGAAGGCGCCTGATGTAAGCACTATTTGATACACTGAGGTTTTCCTGCCTATTGAAAGTAAACGGGAGTTCCTTCAAGAGCAAGGTACGTAGTCGCGCAGAGCGAGCCGTGTGGCACGAAAACTAAAGAGACGATAATCCTGCGTCCAAGAACAATTGGCTCATTGTAGCGAGCCGAAAGGTAATGACAGAGAAACCGGGGACTGATGTAAACAAAGATTATATCGCTCTCCAGCACAAACATAAGCCCACATAACAGCGCGAGACGCCATCCAGTTAAAGCTGCAGTCATCTCAGAGCAATAACACTGACAGCAACAGTCTATCTTTGTTTAGCCCCCCCTCTGGAACGGAACACCAGTGCCGCACCGAAGCCAGCTCTCTCATGTGCTAACTTTAACTGATTTGCTGCCATGTTTTACACTCCAATAAAACCTAATTGGGTTCCAATTCAGAGAAGCACATAAAGCAACTCACACACGTCTTTGCCCCAGGTGTAAAATCAAATTTGTTTCTTTCACTGTAGCTCTGTGACCACAAACCTCACCACACGGCCACTTTAACACATGCCTCTGCCTTTTTGGCAAAGGGAGATCCAAACCACTGAGCATGAGGATTGAAATGCACTTTGCCTTACATTACGTTTATGGAGCTACCCCACAGCTCTTACACAAACCAGCACAGATGAAGGTAAAAGAAATCCCAGCTCTCCGATGCTACTAGCAAAGCTGTGTGTGTGTGTGCGTGTGTGTGTGTGCATGCGTGTGTGTGTGTGTATGTGTGTACTTTAGTGAGACAACGAATGAATCTTTCAACCACTCCCTGATTTAGAGGATCAAAGCATCTTGCCCAAACACAAGCTCACACCCACCCGGTCTCTGCACATCTACCAAGACCACAGCCACATCGAGGCTCAGGGATCATTTACCATACATGTAAAAACAACATATACGCACACAGCTTGCCACATTATTATAAAATCATCAGCTCGAGTCCAACTCCCGCCCCCATATCGAAAAAGAGCACTTCCAACACCCGAAACGAGGAGAATTTCAGACAGAAGCTGAACCCGGGCCAAAAACATCATGCTGCGAGCAACCAGAGAGTTTAGAAAACATGACATCACAGCGAGAAGGACCGAGAAGCTTGCAACACATCTGGCAGCTACGCGTAGTTCAGCTGCTGTCAAGCAGATGGATGAACACTTCACCTTTGGAGCTCTGCTTACCGAGGCTCTAAAGTCGTTAGCAAGTCATTATCAAATACCTATGCGGCTTCACAAAAAAAACATCTTTTCCAAGGCAGTGACAAGGACTCTGGAAAACAGCAAAATAAATAACTAAATAAAAAAACTACCCCTGCCAACATTTTGGCCAGCATCCTGCAGTACACAGCAGTCATTGTAGTCAAACTGAAACCACGTTTTAGAGTTTATTCTTACTCATGAAGGTCAGTGGTTCATTTTCTTGTGAAATGAAATCAAATGGAATTAATGTTCTTGAAGAAAATCTGGCATCCATCTTTTTTTTTTTTTTTGATTCTCAGGCAGTTTTTACTAATTTATGAGGGAGTTTTTTGATGCCACTTCCTGCCATAGCTATGTTTTTATGTTGTAAGGTTGTAGAGGGAAAACGAGTTCATTTTTAACAGTTTTCCTATTTTAATCTTTGCTAATAAGGAAATAAACTGTGGCAGGCCTATGTGGCATATAATTAAACCATTCTCCTATCGCTAACAACTTTTTAAAATATAAGTAACTGAGTTACTCTTGGTAAAAATTAGAACTTTTATAGCTATAACTTAATTTTTTTATATCTAAAAACTATTTTTGTAGATATTGATAATTCCATTACATTGTTACCAGTGAATTTTCTTGTTACTGATGTCTGAAAAAGCTTTTTAATAAATCCTAAACCAAATATTTGTTATTGCTAATGATGCTTTTATTAGTTAAGATGTCTTTTTTGAACATTCAGAATAATATTAGAAATTATTATTTTTATTCATTTAAGTATTTAAAATAAATTGTGTGAAAAGAAACAACAAGACTATAAATATCTGAAATGCTAATTTCTTCTTCAAAAAGCCTTTATGTTTATTCTAGGTAAAAAGAACACTTGTAGATATTTGGAGCTGAAAGACACATGAACGGGAACAGAGACATTATTTGTTTGAATGATATTAGAAATATCTGACATGTTGATTGTGGATAAATTTTGGCTTATAATTTTATATGACAAACCCATGTAGCTGAACGCACCTCTGCAATAGTTCTGCTCATCAGAAGTAAAACCTGGTGAACAGCGAATGGTGGGCTGGGGGACCCTTGGCGGTGGGAGCTGAGGGTTTGGTTGAACAGCAGGAACTTGGGGTGTCTGGTTGGGCTGCGTCCCTTCCTCGGACTGGCCCATGGTGACGTAGATGATGGCGTTCTTGGGGAGGCAGAGGTATCCCCCGTAGTTGTTGATGCATTTCATCCCTCCTTTGCAGGCATCTTCTAACAGCTCACATTCATCAATGTCTGACATAAAACCAAAGACAGAAGGATGAAATTAAAGCTCACAGAATGATTGTCAGTGTTAAAGCAACACTATTTGAGTGTGTGTTTTCTCTTTTTGAGTGTTAAATGAACACTGATGGAGGGGTAATCTAGCACAGCAAGTCTGCCCAAGCAACCTGAACAAATCAACAATATTTAAATCTACACAAACTGTTCAAAACTGGCACCTATGGTAAATTGTGTAAAATAATTAACACTTAAACACTTTATTGAGTGCACATATAGTCACCCTGTATATTTGATACTTTATATACTTAATTCAAATAAAGTCAACCTTTATAGCTAAATTTATTGTTAAAAAATAGAAAACTTAGCACGATTAGACTCATCAAATGCTGCACAAATCAGGCAAAAAAAAAGTCTCACCTCTGCACTGCTCTTTGACTTTGTCATAGGTGTACCCCTCTGTGCACTGTGTCAAAGAAACATGTATTTTTTGTAACATCATGTATAATGAAATAAAATGCAAGTTCAATTTTCTCATCAATGAATAAAAATGCATGGGTGGGGGGGGGGAGCAGCTGATTGTACTCACTGAGTAGGTGACGGGCTCCTCAGTCTCCTGGGGGAAGACCTGAGTGAAAACCGCACAGAGACACACGCAGAAGCCCAGCATGTCGACCAAACCTCGGGAGCAGACTCTGGAACAAGACGCAGAGGGAGCGAGTGGAGAGAGAGAGAGAGAGTGAGTGAGTGAGTGAGTGAGTGAATGAGCGTGCGAGATCATTTTCTGCTTGACGAGCCTACACGTTTTAATACCGGTTATTACATCATGATGGCACTGCCTAACGAGCCCCAACACCTCCCGCTGCTGGCCTGATGTTTATGTTGGCATATCTCCAGCTCAACGTGCCCCTCCAACCCACAGAAGTGTTTTTTATCTGCTGTTTTTCTCCAACAGGATCAGTGCGTAATGCGCGTAAAGACCGTGCGTAATCGTGTCCCTGTGCGCCACTGTCAAGGACGTGCAGATAAGTTACAAACATATGTGATTACAGCTCATTTGTTTTTCTTTTATCGTATCTTCGTGGCACTTGCTGCTGATCAAGTCACAGAAACAAGCAAATTAAAATGCTTTCCCCCTAAAATTCAATATCCCCCCTTTTTTCCAGCAAGGATATCTGGAAGAGTTTCATTACTCCTGAGCAACAAAGCGGTGAGAGCTCTCTGCTCCCTGGTTTGGAAACATACCTGCAGCTACCTGCGGTTATTCCACGTCTCCTGACGCGCTTAGGGAAACGGCTTTGGGTTCTGTTGCTGCAGATCCGGACGTGCGCGAGGCGAGCTTCCACCTTCCCCGCTGCGCAGAGAGGATGTTAGGTGTTGGACTGAGAACAGGCTTTGGGATGAACATGCGGTGAGTACAGTAGGGGAGGGGAGGAGAGAGGGGGAGAGGGATGCAGGGCAGGTTGTCCCTCACTGGGAGGGGTACAGTAAAACATGGCTCCCTCTATGGACTGATGGACAGAGAGGAGGAGAGGGAAGGATTAACAGGAAATTACTGAGCTCCGTTTGGAAGCGCCCAGATTATATTAAAAAAACTTGTTTTTGTTTAACAACACAGGTTTTGGCACATGTACCCAAACTCACAGTGAGAACTCAGCGCTTTATAAAGTATGCAGTCAGTGTGTGTGTGTGTGTGTGTGTGGGGGGGGGGGGTTTGGTTCTAGTGACGTTTGGGGGCAATTTTAAGACAAAATGCCTACATTTGGGGACAAAAGTCGAGTCCCCATTTGGTTTAAATGCCATTGGTGGGTTGAGGGTTGGGTTTAGGACCAAGGTGTGAATTGAGGTTAGGTTAGTTTTAGGGTCAGGTAGGTACTTGTGAGGTTATCCTTGTGGTTTGTGGTCAGGGTTAGGCTGTAGAAATGTAATGGAAGTCAATGGAATGTCCCCAAATGGATAGCTGTGCAAACATGTGTGTGTGTGCGTGTGTGAGCAGCAGGTGTTCTGATCAAACCTTGCGTTGAAGAGCTCTGTCAGCGACCACCACATTAGGTTTTAAACCATTTCATGGTGTTTACAAGTTGCCTCCGCTTAAGGAACATCTGCTGGAATTGGCATGGCTTCTTGAATTTCTCATGGGTGAAGACACAGTAAGTGATTGCGCGTTTGTGCGCGCCAGCAGCTTGCTGAAAGATTGGAAAGAGGGAGAAAAAAAATATTGGCACCACCGCTTTTCTCCTTTCTTGGTGACCTTCTGACTCCTCAGAGGGTGCGAACACCGGCAGGTTGATTGTGTTCACTTTGCTTCAAGGAAAATCATCAAATATTTTCATTTAAGAACAAAATCTTTCAACTGCTGTCAGATCCACAAAAAGCTAAAACATCAAAATCCTTTTCTGTTCAATGAAATATGGATGGAACACACACAAAGGAATACAAGACCTTTTTACTCTTCAATAAAAGTTTATTTTAATTGGCAAGCTATAAACACATGCAAAGGCAGTGAAGATAAAGTACATAATTAATCAAAGCTGTTCTGAAACAACAGATAAGCATTTGGCCAATGCTAATAAGAGGATGAGAGAACTTTCCTATTGGTTCTGGTCAGGAACAAGAACTATTTAGACACAAAGGCTAATGTGTTTGTGCCCACAAATCATTTTATTGTTATAAAATAAGCAGCTTAAGGGGGACACATCATGCAAAACCCACTTTTTTTAGCCATTAAAGGCATTTTATTGTGTACTTGGAGTCAGTGCAGAAAATTTGGTCTTCATTCTCCTCTGGCTTTGGGTCAGACTCTGGCTCCAACATGTAAGGCTGGATGGACAAGTCTTCCCTTGTTGACATCTTTTAATTAATCTGTAATTAAAGTTTCTGCAAGGTATGTACAGTGGTTAGACAATGAAACGGAAACACCTGGTTTTAGACCGCAACATCCCTTTCAGACAGCTTCCTCTTGCGTCCACAGTTAATTCTGTTGGATGTGGTTGGTCCTTCTTGGTGGCATGCTGACATTACTCTGGATACTGTGGCTCTTGATACATCACAAAGACTTGCGGTCTTGGTCACAGATGCACCAGCAAGACGTGCACCAACAATTTGTCCACTTTTGAACTCTGGAGTGCCACCCATAATGTTGTGTGCATTGCAATATTTTGAGCAAAACTGTGTTCTTACCCTGCTAATTGAACCTTCACACTCTGCTCTTAAAGAGACAGCCTCAAACCGAGTTGATCTGAGACACATCTCAGAAAAGAGGTGAAAGAGGGGCTTGTGGAGTTACAATAAAGACCAAAGCATTGCAGTTTCACTTTATCCACTTTACTGAATGACTTAAAGTGAAAAAGAAGGATTTAAAAGCATGATATGTCTCCTTTAACAGGGATTGTGTGCAGCTTTCATGATAAATGTTCTGTAAAATATGGCCTCAACAGGTATCCGGTTTAAACAGGTTTAAACTGCAGCACATACAGACTCACAAATACGTTCTATAAACAAAAAATAAACATCAAGAGTCATGTTAAGAAATAACTTAGAGGAAAAGATATTACATCAGTGAGGTGCATTTTTTGACGGAGTATCTTGAGCTGGTATTTTGTGACGTTTCTTTCGACGCTGAAGGCAACGCATCAGGTACTGTTGGCAGTAAAACATCAGCCAATCAGTTCCTGATGCAGTACCATCCACGTCAGAAAGCCTCTTTCCCTCCAACATCAAAATAACTGAAACAAAAAAAGACTTCTAATCCAAACTCATCCAAACAAGACATTCTTATTATTCTTTTGATGCTGCACTAATACAATAGCCAGTACTGTACAGTACACATCATCATAAGTCAACATGGCAGTAGAAGCATCTGGATAGTGTTTTCATGCAAATTCAAAGTGGGCATCCATTGTGAGATGAGGCTGGACTTCAAAAGAGTGGAGAAAAGTGGGGTAAGGGGTTTGTGGGAGACGAACACGCAGACACAGAGGGTGTCTATGAAACGTGCTTGTGTAATCGCAGTGACATCTTCACTGAGGGTCCTCCATCTCCTTCCCCGCGCGCTCCAATAGGGCAGCGTTGACGCCGGTCGATGGGGAGAGCAGCCGAGGCGCTGCACTTAGCATAATCCCAGAGGCCATTGTGAGAGCAGCTAGTGAACGACTCACAGTTGCCAGCTGAGATTTCACCAAAACACAGCAGAACACGAGGAGAACGGGACAGGACGGGGGGGAGATCAGAGACGCAGAGGGGAGAGGGGGAGGCTCTGGTGATAGACCAAAGTAAGCAAACAAATACACATACAAAGTGGTAAACAAATAATCTGAAGATGTTCTCTGTATAAAAATGTTTGAAGGGTGGTGGGTGCAGGATTCATTGCATTAAAGAAGCAGAGCATTTTCTTCCAGGTGGACCGCACCTGTTGGCTCCTATTCAACACTGCAACTCAATGATCATTTCTTTTTTCTTCTCTTTTTTTGACCAGTCACCAAGTGTTTTGTCTTGTAACTGTCAGACATGAAGAGATTACCTGAAGCTCGAGTGCGAAACCCTTTGTGATCATGAGATTCACACGCAGGCCGACACGTTTGCAGTCGAGCTTCGGTAAAACTATACGGTCTCCAGCTGCCGGACAATAAAAAAAAAAAAACATATGGGGCCGAGTGTTCGCCGCTACATCTGCAGAAACGAGATGAAACACGAGAGTTTAAGGCAAACTGCAGAATCTCTCCAGGTGATTGTGAGAATAAACAGCATCGTCACAGTTGCCTGCAGAGATTACCCAGTTAGCCTTTAGGATTCTCACCCGTGCCTTGTCTAACACACGCACGCGCTGTTCTGTGGTGGGTGTGTTACATCTAAAAGAGTCAATTGACAGCAGATGTCTAACAACAATCAGTATAAAGACAGCTCTGACCCCCCCTTCCCTCACTGATCCCCTAAAGGTCTCGGGTTACCATGGTGATTAGGCCCAGGCACGTGCCTCACATTGTTGGGCCGCATCCTCCGGGGTCAACCGCACACCCAGCTAGAGGTCAGATGTCACCCAGGCGCCCTCGCCAGCTTTCAGCCTTTGACCCCCAACAAACACTGGAACAAATTGAGAGATCGGGAGAAGGAGGTGATAAAAAAAAATAAAAGTGATTCGACCAACAAAACATGAATTAAAAAAACTCCTGACATGTTTAAGGATTGTGAGTCCAGGTGAGCAGTTTGTTGCAGAAAGGATGAGGTGGAACAGTGGTCTGCAGATTACTGTATGTCGCCCTCTTGTGGTGAAGTTTTATACTTTTATATTTTTTAAACATTTGGTGCAGTTCTGCTTCAAAAGACAAAATCAAACCAATGAAAACAATCTAAAATATGAAACCAACATATAAAGAAGTCATCTTCATGAAACTGAGGATTAATGCACTGCAACAAAAAACATAAATCTTAAAGTAAAATGCCCATATATTCATGAGAGTCAGACATATATAATTATGGGGAAAAACAAACGTTGACCTAACTTTTCTTTAATTAACAAATCGCTTATCTGGACATTTCAGCTCATCTTTGGCCCAAAGGTGCATTCTTTACCACTGAGCCCAGAGTATGTTGGGCTATTCAGGTCATCGAGTTGTAAAGTGCTGCTCGGACGTTAACAAAAGAAAAAAACTTAAGTTTATTAAATGGAACAGGCTGACAGTCCACACTTTGTTAGGCAGTGAATGAACAGAGTGGTTTTGACAGGCCTAACCTCTTAAGCTTTGGGTCCCACTGAGCTCGGCACAGCTAGAGCTAAATGCCATCTGTCCCAACATCATGAACCCCCCTCCACCCAAGCCCCACTACCCCCCCCCCAAACTGTCCCCAACAGTTTGCTATACAATCATGAGAGTGCTATTAAAAAGGAATTCTAGTCCATCTAAAGGCTTATTTATCAGTAAAATGGTTAAAGGATGCCAACTTTAAATGCTTTGCCAAATTCAATACGTAAATAAAAAGCACTTGGCTCACAAAATATTGACAAAAAACACATCTGCATTTGAAGAATGCAAAGAAAGTTACTATGAATTTACAATTTAAATTTAGCTGTAAGTGAAGTTGGCAACTCTTTTGAAAAGTTAATTTTTTTTGCATCTTCTGTTTGTGTGCATCTGCAGCTCATTCCTTAGACGTCCACTGTCTCTGTTGTAGGGTTAAACTTGAAAAAAAAATTGAAGACACAGGAGGGGAAACTTGGAAAGCGGGACTTTGTCTGCTCTATGACCGACATATAACCAATAATTCACAATTTAAAAATATGCAATACCTGTAAAGATTCAGGCTAATTAGTTCACATCTCATTTTTTTCTAATTAATTTAGTGCACTTTAACTTGTGTTAATAAGTATTTTTCCACAAAATTTTCAGTTGTTCAACTAATGCTCGTTTGTGTTTAGTCATTTCAACATACGGCACAATAAAATGATGTGTCCTGAACTTTAGCCTCCTCGTGTTCAGAGTGTCGTTAGCTGTCATCTAATGTTAGCAGCAGAAGAAAACAACCCTTCGTGCCCCGCAGCCCTGTAGTGTGCACTTTAGCACTTCATTAATGTCCTGGACGTTCGCTGCACAAGCAATTGTCCTCTCTGAACAAAAAGACTGACGCATTTTATCAGTTGGAAGCAGATTTATCAAAGCAGCCTGATACAATAGATGGAACAGCTCAAATCATGAAACAAGGCTGCAGAAGGCCTCCTGGTGAGGCATATTGTGCTGCTTGTTGATGGTCCGGTTTGAACTAAGCGACATGTAGCGACATTCGGATAGAAACGCTGTTGCACGATCAGCAAAACGTGTGTGTTCAAGAACAGCATGGAGTGTGTGTTGAAAGTATGTACAGTGCTTTTGCATACAGGAGTCCATGCTGGGAAATACAGGCAACTAACAGGCCTCTGGGAGGTGCACAGTGGCTAAAAACAATTGGGATCTGGATGAACTGATGTGACATGAGTATTAGTTCCTGTCTTTCCGTTGGGAGCGTCTGCAGAGGTGAAAGAGGGAGAAAAAAAGGGCCAAGAAAAGGAGGGAAAGACGATGAGGGGGGGGGGGGGGGGCTTCGATGAAGCCTGGGAAAGTCAAACCAATCAAACTGCAACAGTTTGAGCTCCACAGCCTGAATGTTAGGACTGTTTCATCCACAGCACAGCCATATTAAAAACAAAGACAGCTGGAATGCGTTGAATGTAACAAAAAAAATTGTCTTCTCAAATTTTCCACTTAGTGACAAATTCAGCTGTTCATTTGTAAAAACAGACAAGTTTCCTCCCAAGATCAATGAAGTGCTCATCTCTTTTTGTATCCCAAGAATACCAATTTCAGAGCGCTAAGAATCGATCGAATAAATGATTTGAACATCCAAAAGAAAATTTGGCAACTTCTCTGCTAATACTCTAAGCAATATCAGCTAAATCACCAAATCTTTTTCCTGCTCAGTTCGGCATCCTCAGAGCGTGGAGGAATTTACTCTTTTTAAACGATCCCGTATTTGGACTGCTGCGGTGATAAAACGAAATACCCGAAGACATCCCCACATTTTATTCTACTGCGTCACACAGTGGAAACAACGTTTTATTTGCCATTTACAGGGTATGAGACCAGCTGCTGCACTGCAGTCTCACATGAGACGGGCCAAAGCCACGTCAGACCACTCAGCGTCCACATATTTACATCCCATCTCAGCTATGGGGATGCATAATTCCCCACAAGCATCATGGCTTTAACCTTACATCAGTCCATGTCCTGCGCACGCATGACTGAGTACAATTACAATTTC